TGTGGCCAAAGCTGCCCTGGACCATTCCTGAAAGTGGACTGCTGCACTTGCAGAAATCCCAGTTTAGTCCAGGGGTCCTCAAACTTTTTAAACAGGGGGCCAGTTCACTGTCCCTCAGACCGTTGGAGGGCTGTTGGAGAGTGCGGCGCACATTCCACACATGCGCACTGTGGGCCCGGGACGAGTCGGCTGCTAAGCAGGACAGGCAGCGGTGGCAAAAATACCCAGTGGGCTGGATAAATGTCCTCAGCGGGCTGCACGTGGCCCGTGGGCCATAGTTTGAGGACGCCTGGTTTAGTCTTTGCAGGTTCTGCTTACTTCATAGATTACCCAGAGGGACATGAGTGGACATGGGCGGTTCTAGACCTGGGGAATTCTGGTCCTCCCTGCTCCAACTCTTGTCCTTGATTCCAACTGTCCCAGACCCCCCCCCCAAAAAAAAGAACAATGTTCTGCAGCCTAAAGACTGAAGCCTCCCCCGCCATCCACACCTGATGACAAATCAAAGAGTGTTTTGAACTGAAATTAGTTTGAGTGTAGAAAACCAGTTCCAGTTCTTGAACACCTGAGCTTGTGGACTGAGGTCATCCATCTGTACATTCATAGTAGTCTGGCGTGCTGGCTTTGGGGATTTGGGGGGACCACAGAGGGACAGTCCTTCTACAGTGTACTGTTTTTTCCAGAAGAGAAAATGGGATAGGAGCATGTTGGTCCCTTGGGTGGGTTACGACATGGACTTTTGTGTGGCTATTTGCAATAGCTCTGAGCCCCACCCAGGGAATACAGGGGATGTCTAGAGGTGGCTCAGGTGCTAAAGAGAGAAGATTAAAGCTTCTTTAGCAAAAGCTACCCCTTGAAAGAGGAAGAAGGAGGGGCCCAGAAATCTCTGAGTTATACAGGGATTGTGTATTCTTCCAAATCTGTAAACTCTTTTTCCTCCTAACTAAATGAGAGACATACAAAGGCACCCTAAAAATGGGATCCAAGAGGATTTGCAACAATATTCACATGTCTTTTCAACTATCTTTCTACATCCATCCTAATTTCAATTCAAAGCACAAGGAATTTCAGGCACGCTGAGGTAGAATTGCTTCTATGAGAACATCGACTCACTCAACTGTTATTGCTCCTCTCAAGGCCACATGAACATGGGAACATCCACAAGAATTGACCTCTGCACCCCATCTCCCGACCTTCCAATTTGTATCACAAACCGTGATGGAGGAAGGAAGAGAAGAAAGAGTGAATGGAGGGATAGATAAGTACAAAAGTGAAGATTAGAAAGATGGAATGAAAGAGAAGAGAGGTATTTCTGGGATCCAGGGAGCCTGAAGAACAGCTGCCAGTCTAAGAGGAACTAAATTGTGGTCACCTCACCTCAAAAAGGGGCATAAATTTCCTTCTGGGTTCTTTCCTACCACCTCTGCTGTTTAAACTCATTTTCATGTGCCTGTCTTCCTTCTTTCCTTCCTTCTTCCCTCCCTCTCTCCCTCCCTTCCTTTTTTCCTTCCTTCCCTCTTTCCTCCCTCCCTCCTTCCTTCCTTCCCTCCCTCCTTCCTCCCTCCTTTTGTTTTTTCTTTCTTTCTTGAGAAGTGCTAAACTCTGCTGCAGTGGTAGAAAAGACAGTATCACTAAAGAGTTTTGATTGTTTAACTTCCAGGCCACTTCAGGTATTTCAATGTTTTTAGTATCAGCAATCCTGAGTACATTTTGCTTTTCTTACCAGAAGCTATTTTTTAATTAAGTTAAAGTTGCCTGCCATCTCACTGTTGATTTTCATTTTTTTAATCATGTAAGAACTTCCTGTAAGCAACTTCAGAACACCCCCTTTTCACATTTAAGCATACAGTAATTAGACCCAGATTTGCTGAGCCTGTGGGAATCCTACAACCAAAGTGATCTTAATGGCATTTTAATGTCTGAACTCTTCTGTTCTTATGGGTGAGGTTACCCAGTAGATAAAAGAAATGACTTTGACATCCTGGTGCTTATTGGAGTTCGGAAAATGCCTCTTAAGGGTGGAAGGTTTGTGAATTTTTCTTTATTAAATGAGAAACAGTTAAACCACTAAAACCTGCATTGGTACCCACAATGTGTTTGGGAGTTTTTTTTTTTTTTTTATCTTTGTACTTCAGGTACATTGAGATATTCTTGGGTAAATACTTACGTCAGAGGAACTAAAGTTTTTATGGATGACAAAACCTTGTAAATCAGGAAACAGTAAAAAGAAATGGAAGTGTTTAATGGTCTATATATAATAGGAGAGATGGGTTTTTAGAGGAGAGGTTTGCATCTTCTAAATAGAGACATGGTAGTATTTTAGGTTTATTTGAGAAGACTTTACATGAGATTTATTTATTACTCCACAGAGTCTTATAAAACACTCAGTTCATAGAATAGAGTCCATTTTTATTGGTGTTACCTGTGCATGTGATTTCTCATAGTAAAATGAAGTAAGAGCCAAAACAAATTAAACAAAGCCATTATTGTCTCAGTCATTATTGTCTCAGACGATTACCCCACTTAAAATTTCTCCTATTTTAGGTAGCCATGAACTGTCACCTGGACTGTGCCTGGAGGAATCTCTCTGTCAAATGCTTCTCCTATTTCTCAAATCCTACAAACTTCACTTTCAATCCAATAATAAAATTCTTTGCCTGTTGGTTCCTCTGATATGTCCAAGAGTTTTCCGAGTGGTGAGACAATTTCTGAGCAGAGATCCACCTCATTACTCTTGTGTAACCAGTTCGTTTTCTCAATAACTTTTCCCTCCTGATAATTACAGAGCACATTTTTAAGTCACTGCATTTACGGAACATCCGTTATGTGCAGGGCATTGTGCCGGGGCCTCAAGCCTTTATGATGCCCAGGGCCTCAAGCCTTATGAACAGCCCTCAAGTGCTGTTCTCTTCAGGAATGTCAAACCCATAAGTGATTGTCACGCGGTGTGATGAGGACATAACAGATTCCTGGGAGACCCCTGGGTTCACCTTTGGCCCGCCCAGATAATCCAGGATCATACCCGCATCTCAAGTCCCTTTGCCATATAAGTTCACATATTCGCATGTTTTGGGAATTAGGGTGTGGACATTTTTGAGGGGCCATTATTCAGCCTACCACGATGTCTTTAGGACAAACGGGTGCCAGACTGGCAGGAGGTCCTCTGAGCCTCTGTTCTCTGTGCCCAGAAGGGTCTAACTGACTCCGTTCTCCCTTTCCCCACTTTTCTCTACAATGTGACACATTTCTCCATCTGTCTCCCCTCTCACCTTTTATTTTGCACATGCTCTGTTCTTAGTCATTTTAAAAGGCCAAAAGCAGGAGTAATGATTATATACCTTTAATACATCAAGGGAATACACAGCCTGTACACGATAACGTGAGCTTTCAATTCTGGATGAGTTATGTGACGAATAGGGGAAGACACAAGGGATCGCAGTAGCCTGAAAAATGCCCCATTGTGCGCTGAGCAGCAGGCGTGGGAGGTAGCTCAATGCCACGTCTGCATCGTGGCAGTCCCAGAGCAAATGCATTTTATTGATTTTTATGTTTAAAAGTCTCATCTGCTCAAGTAGCGTATTTAATGTTACAAGTACAACTTAGATAAGTTAAAACTCCAACAGGCAAAACCAGTCCTACACTGTGTTAAAAATGCTGTAGCAAATTGTGTAACTATCTGTGAGTTTATTTGTACATTGTTATCCTTTCTGATCTCCCAGCTTTCAGCAAACAACACAAGCAGCTCTCGTCCAATTTAAGGACAGCCACTTTTAAAATCAGACAAAGGCTTGGTGCTGGGGAAATTTCTTCCCAGAGTGATTATTTGAAGATGTGAGAGTTTCTATCGGAAGGAGAAAGACTGCTATATACATACATAGTGAGTGAGATGTGCACCATCTGGGGGATGGTCATGATGGAGACTCAGACTTTTGGGGGGAGGGGGGAAATGGGCATTTATTGAAACCTTAAAATCTGTACCCCCATAATATACCAAAATAAAAAAAATAATTAAAAAAAAATAAATCATTTAAATCCACACGGAAAGATGCTTTTTCCACAAGCAGCAATTTTCAGAGAACGGGGTCAATCTTCATTCATCTATTGTCCGCAAAGATTGTTCGCAGCACAATTGTGAAGCATTTCCATGCCCCCCCTTTCCTGTTCTCACCCCTAATCCCCACTTTCACTGGATCCCCAGCACTCTCATGCAGACCCCGGACTCTCCAGAGCACTCGATACAGATCTTTTCCTGGACTTCCTCTCCATACCCCTCCCCTCTCTTCCAGCACCTTCCATGACACTTAGACAAGGACCTTTCCTTCAGAGCAATGCCATCAGGTTTCTGCCAGTTAACCCACATCTGACACCCCCATTCTTGAAGGTGCCAGTATTCTGGTACCCTCTCTGGGATGGCTGGAAACACAGCACTTTCACTAGGATTTCCCCAAACGGATTCTTAAGAACACAAGTTTCTTGGCACGCTAATAGTTGCCTCATGGAAGATACCAAGTTACCAAGTAAAACTCAGAAATTCATAACACACACTGGCACGTGTGAGAAGACACCACGAATAACTTGCCAAGGGTCATTGAACACAGTATTTCCCATCCTACTGTCTACAGAATCAGGGACCAGAGACCACACTGAAAAGAAAGGATCTGTTAAGATGAGCCGTCTTCCACAGTAATGGGTAGGAAGCCTTTGGGAAAGAATCAGCCCAAAGTGGAGCAGAGAATTTGCTCAGCTGGCATGTGAGTGAGAGGAAGAGTTAAAAGGAAGGGCTAGAAAACTCGACTTAAACTCAGGCAGAAGAAGGGAAACTATTGGCTCATTTATTGAGAAATTTAAAGGTATGATGCACACTATCTAGGGGATGGACACACTTATAACTTTGACTCAAATGGTGCAAAAGCAGTTTATGTAACCGCAACATTTATACCCCACTAATATTCTGAAATTAACAAAATAAACAATAATAATAATAATAATAAAGGAGTAGATCTGCTTCAGGTGGGGCTTGGCCCTTCAATAACAAGTGTCAGGAAAGTCAACTCAGATTAAGCAGGAACTGGCAGTTGGGTGACCTGAGGAAGGAGGCTCTGGGCAGAATCCATTCTCCTAGAGCAGGTGGTGACACAGCTGTCTGCAAGACGATCCCTGGTGCAGAAGTGGCTTGGGTGGGCTGAGGCCAGCGTGGCTGTTTCCTCAGAGACCCAGAGGGCAGGAGCAGAGGCTCGGCCCCTGTTCAGGCAGCTCATAGCTGGGGGTTGAGCCACTTGCCTGGAATCTTTAGTCGGTTCCACCAGCCCTCCCAACAATCCTGTAAATCTCTCCTTTTTCTTCCTGGTCTGCGGGAGTCAGCCACTCTTATTCAGAAGGCTCCTTGTCTTGGTTGTATTATTCTTTGACCCAGTAGCAAATTGTCACCAAAGAGGTAACTGAAAAATAGGACATCACTTTATCAAATAAAGAAAAGCTACATTTAAATAGCTGCTTCCAAGCAGATCTAAGTCCTTACCCACACGCCATCTGTGTACGTCATGGGCCGATGCCGAAGACCAGAAAAAGGCAAAGGCATTAATTATTCCAGGTCTTATCTCTTCCGATTGTCAGCTGCAATAATTTTTCCTTGAAATAAAATCTCCTGTTAGTCTGGTGATTGTTACTGGATAGTTTAATGGCCTGTGGCAGCACGGCACGAACCATGCATCTTCTGAACAAGTTTCTGGGCTTCATCAACATTTCCGGAGACAGACATTTGTAATCAAGGTATAAGATGCATTAAGTTGGCAAATGGCTTTCTCTAATGGAAGATTTGGAAACAACATCTGATCTCATAAATTTTATAACTTTTCACTCCTTCCACATTCATAAGCTGAACGTGTCCCCCACTACGGTTCAATCCGTTCCTTTGAGAGATGAGCACGCTGGGCTCAGCGCAGAGACCAGGGCCAGGCTAGGGATAAATGTGGATCTTTTTAAGACAGTGTGGGGAGCGGTGGCTTAGAGTGGAAATCCTGGCAGACTCCAAAGTCTGTCAACTGAGCCAGGATGTTAGTAGACAAAGCAGCTCCCAGGTGCCAACTAGATAAGACATGGTCGTGGACGACAGGGAATGCTGTTTTAATAAAGTACCATGGACTTCTTGTCCTGTTAACAGAAAATAAGTTGTTCCTGGCCTGTAGCAGCAGAATATCACCAGAATTGCTTGGTGAGGTTTTCATGGACAGTCAAGAAGCTGCTTTGTTGTGCGAACCTTTGATGGGGGGTGAGGGAGAATGAAAAAACATCAACAAGCAGATAAGTGGCTGGGCTATGAATATAACAGGGGAGACGCTGGACTAGCCGTTGTTTATCCTTGCAAGAAATTCTGAGAGTGTTGTAAAATAGTGTCTAAACTCAAAACCAAGCCGTTACAACAAGACGTGAAAGCTTCGTTAAACTTTTGGTGGCGTGAGAAGTATAACTGTAGACATCAGAGAATAAATTTTCTGGAAGGAACCTTGGAAGCCCATCTAGTTCAACACTCTTATATTGCCCATGGGGGGTAAACTGAGGCCCAGACAGGAAAGTGACCTACTGAAGGTGTGAGGACGTGGGACTTTGGGGGACAGTTAGGTTATGACGGTGTTAGTGCCCTCAAGAAAGAGACCCCACAGAGCTTTGTTCTCCCCTCCCACCATGTGAGGACACAGAGAGATCACGGCCATCTGAGAACCAGGACACAGGCCCCCACCAGACACCACACCTGCTGGTGCCTTGGTCTTGGCCCTTCCGGCCTCCAAAACCAGGAAAAATAGATGTTTGCTGTTTCAGCCATGTAGTCTCTGTTATATTTGTTAGAGCAGCCAAACAGACTGAGGTGGAGAGTGCAAGTTTAGAAGACTGTCTCAAAGGACAGAGCGCTATGACAACTTTATGACTGAGATGCTTACATAATGTGGCCATTGTGAGGAGTAAAAATCTGAAGGGTATTTACAAAGTAAGGAGCACCTGGCTCCTCCACGCTATGAACAGCCAGTTGAGCGATGTTCTCCACTGATAAAACCGCTTCACTCTGAAAAGTTGCCTGGGTTTCCATTTATCTGGATGGGCACTCTCCTATTAACACCGGACCTGAACAGAACGCTGTAATGACAGGCTCGGGCATTCACAGCCGTCTCAGTGCTGAATCAAGACGCAAGCGGCAGGGGTGAAACAAGACGAGACAAGATGAAGTCCAGGTGCAACTGAAAAGATTAGATGCATAGATGCAAAGAGAGTGGGGCTTAATAATAATAATCCATATCTGCAAAAGCAAAAACAACCCCAAAACCCCCAAACAAAAAGACCTGGAATTTTAGTTTATTCTAGCTTAGGATGCACCAAGAGTGTGATGTGATCGTTGAATAAACTGAAAGAAAACTTAGGCTGAATCAGGTTCAGTGTCCAAGAGACCTAGAGTAAGGAACTACCAGGTATATACACGCAAGTCCACTAAAGAGGGGACTTTCTTGCTCTTTAAGTATTAGATTGGGTTGACAATTTGGTGTGCATCTCTGGAAAATTCCAAACACCTGGGTGAACATCTGCCAGGGATGCTGTAGGCTTCATTCTGCTTGGACCAGATGGCCTGAGCACCCTTCCAACTCAAGTGTGTGAGTGCAAAGTCCAGCATCACTGTCCAAGTCCCCCACCGTCATATGTGACCTCAGACAAGTTATTTAACCTCTCGGAACCTCTCTTTCCTTGGCTACAAGATCAGAAAGATCAAATATATCTCTCAGAAATTGTTTAAAAAAATCAATTTAAGAAATGTACAGCACAGCCCTAGAATAGTGTTTGGTACGTGATTGTTTTTAAGAAATGTTTGTGTCATCAGAACTTTCCATTCTTCCGTCTACAACAACTCATTCAGGGGTGAGCATGTGACCCCATAACAACTAATGAGATACCCTGAGACTTTTGCTGAGGCTTCTTGGAGTTATTCTTGCTTAATGAGTTTAAGGCTGAGATGATATACTTCCCGGAGATCTTATTACGACTGAACTCGGAGATTAAAACCAGGACAGCTGGAGACAAGAGTCGAGAGCTAGAGAGAAACAAGCCTGTGATGACTTTGGTCCCTGAATCCAGCCGTGCCTGAAGCTTAATGATTTCTAGACTTTTCATTTACACGTGTCAGTTAATTCCATTTTGCTTCCTGCAGTCTGGTTCAGGGTTTCAGTCAAATGCAACAAAAGAATTCTGACAGATGCCATCCTCGAGAAAGACATTCTCATATCCTTACAGTTTTAATATTATTGTTTAATGTGAAGCCTCAGCCTGGCAACTACTTTTCCTTTCTTCTATGCATGGAGCTCTGGAGTCAGGGAGAGCACTACTTTTTCTTATTATCTACCACTTCTTAGAGCCCAGGGCAGCCAACTTTGATACATCAAACACACATTGACCTGAAGTCTACTTGTTATTTTTGGTAGCTATCAGCTTAGGGACTGTACCTTTAAAACCACAGCTGTCTCTTCTTTCATTCCCCCCTCCAAGGTGCTAAAAGCCTAATCAATTATGAATACCTCAGATGCCTTCAGACCCACTTTAGCATCTGGCCGGGGGAGGGACATGCCAAGTCCAGCCCTCATGGCAGGCAAGAGTTGGAACACAAACAGAAATGCCGAGACGCAATGCTTAGTTAGTCACTGTTGGGAAAATATGATTGAGGAATTAATGAGATATGGCTCGTACGACCATTATTTTATTGTATATCCCTATATTACTATAGTAAAGACAGAAACAGGAGTTTGCAGGGTTTTGCCCTGAAGGAATGTGTGGACTCAATGGTTCACTTATTAGAGGCTGCTATCATGGGAGAGCTCTCAAATCTCTGGTAGGGATGTTTTCCAGGAAGGATTCCAAGTATCTCAAAATCTGTGAGCTTCCCTGTGTCTTGAAAGACAAGGCAAGGCAAATATGGCCCACAGGATGGGAGCCGGAGACAATGAGTGCCCTTTGCCCAGAGGTGTGCCCCCGTGGTTATAAACAACTTGTTTATTAGAGATAAGTTTCCTGCTCTCTTCTGTCTGTCTACCTTTAAGTCCACCATAACTAATCAAAGAAATATAGAGTCACTATAACTCTTTTGTTATACCTTTGTTAATTGACAACTACCTCTTAGAATTTAGAAGTTAGCCCCAGAAAGACTTTGTACCTGTTTGTTCACCTAGATAGATTAGAAGCCCCTTGAGAGGACTTTCGACCCCAACCCACTACCTGTATCCCCTAGCAACTGCATTCCCTGATATGCAAATATGTTACCCTGACAACTGGTAATTGATGTCTGTGATTATAAAAACCTGTATGAATCTAACCATATTGCTGGCATTCATGGAGATACGCCAGTCTCCTAAGTACCCCACTGTGTTATATCTGATCGATCGATCTATCTATCTATCTATCTATCTATCTATCTATCTATCTATCTATCTATCTAACTATGAACTCTACCTTAGTCTCTGTGTATTCTTTTATTTCTCTCTGTTGCCTATCAATTTCCTTATCCTCTGTGGCGACCCCTATCTTAGGGACTTGGCTCCGCCTGGTGAAGCAGCTGACCTCCTCGCGGGCCTGCCTCAAATACGCTCCCCTGGCAAGTCACAATGTAGATTCAAAGGAGTTTTTCTTTCTTTTCTATGTTAGAGTTCTGCCACTGTCTGCTTGCTAATTAAGTTAAAACCTGCTAAAAATTGGGTGAAGGCTAAAGTGAAAACACCCAAGCTATGGTGCCATCATTGCACAAGATTAAAGTCACTTGTCTGGCCCGTTCCGATGTCAGCTTGTCTCAGTGGCCCCTGGAGAGTCTTCTAGTGAACTCCAAGGAGGCGGGTGGGTCTGCAGGTGGACATGAACCTGACGGTTGGTGGCCGAGATGCAGGAGGAAGCGCTTCAAGATCCTGTTGGTTTCCGTAGACATTGGTCATTCAGTGCTGTTCTTCCCAGAGGAGCCTCTCCCTGCTAGGTAGCGACCTAGGTGCCCTGCAGAAGCTGGAGGGACCCCTACCAAATTTTGGTTCTGGGATTGAGGTCGCTGACTCTCCATGCACGAGAGAGTTTGAGAGACAGTTTCATTACTCACATGAGGGACTCGTGGGTAGGGCTGGGTGGGGCGGGGTTGGCTCTGGCAGAGCGGAGGAAATGGGTCCGAGCCTTTATAGTAAGGGCTCTGACTAAGAGGTGGGCCTTGGGAAAACTTCCTGCTCCCGGGAGGTTTACATTTCCCCCCATCACCAGTGGTGGGGGCGAGCTCAGGGCCCGATTCGCCTGCTTGGAGCGGGAGGCCTGAGGGACGTCAGCGGTGAAAGATCACGAATGGGATCAGACTCTATCCCCATTACGTATAATCTTATCTTAGCAAAGTGCATTCATTTCCTAGGGCTGCTGTAACAAATGAACACAAGCAGGGAAACTTAGAACAACATAAATTCCTTCTGTCTCAGTTCTGGAGGCCAGAAGTCAGAGATCACAATGTTGGCTGGGTTGTTCCTTCCGGAGCCCCCGAGGGGCACAGCGCACACCTGCTCCTAGCTCCCCGCGCTTGCCGGAATCCCTGGCGCTCTTGGCTTATTCGTTCATCGTTCCTTTCTCTGCCTCCCTCTGCACACAGCCTTCTCCTGTGTCTGTCTTGTCTGTCTCTTCAAAGGACATTCTCTTTGGATTTAGGGCCCAGCCTAATCCACTGTGACCTCTTGTCTTATGCTGATCACGTCTGCAGAGATCTATCTCCAAATAAGGTCATGTTCTGAGCATCTGGATGGACATGACCTTTGGGGGGAAGCTATTCAACCCAGTACACAAAGTGAACGTTATTATTATCACTTTTTAAAAATCACATGCTTTATCACACTTATCCTATTGCTGAATTTTCGCTTCTCCGAATGGGACTGGGAAGCACCTTCACAGGCTTGTGGTGCCCCAGGAAAGGCATAACCCCTGAAAAGGGGTGAGACCTAAAGAAAGGGTTTGCCCAAAGGCAGAGCTGAAAGGGAAGGGGTGGGACAGGGATGCCACGAGCTCAGCAACCACGGTGGGCAGCCCTGGCTGGGAGTGGAGAACGTTAATGGCCCACCTTGGCCTGTTTCCTCAGCAGAGACACAGCTGAATCAGAAATAGTGTGACATTTGGCCAAGTGTCATGGCCTCAGGATGTGCATGGTCACCAGTGCTACGAAATATAGTTCTCATGGCCAATATCCTACCAAGACTGAGATTGGATGGTTGGTGGCATATGCAATGGAAGAATTTTCCATAGCTGGGTTGAATTCAGTGGTGTCACCCTTTGATTTCTGTCTTTCTCTACGAAAGTATTACAAAATACCGCAGACTGGGTAGCTTAAACAGCAGAGATTTATTATCTCACAGTTCTGGAGGTTAGAAGTCCAGGATCAAGGTGCAGTCAGGGTTGATTTCATTCTGAGCCTTGTCTTTCTGGCTTGTAGATGCCCATCTCCCCAATGTGTCCTCACACAAGGCTTCCCTCTGGCCCTGTGTGTGTCCAACTTCCTCTTCTTATAAGAACTCCAGTCCTTTTGGATTACAACCCATCCTAAGGACCTCATTTTTACTTGATTCCCTCTTTGTAAGTACTAGGGTTAGGATTTCAACATATGAATTTGTGAGGGGACACAGTTCAGCCCTTACCAGTCCCTTTCACATTTGTGCTGAGTGAGCAAAGTGCATGCCCTTCTCTGTTGACGTGTATCTCTCTCTGAAAGTTTTGATTGTCTTTCAAGGCAGTTTTAGACTTTAGGTGACAGGCACAACCAGGCTGAGACCTTGGAATCATGACTCAGAGAGCGGGACTGCGTGAACAGGCACATTATC